ATTGCGAATACAATCTGCTTTCTCAGAGAAACCGTACTAGAAAATTATTTGGATACTTCCAACATACCGCAGTCGCAAGGTGCCATTCCCCAGGCAGGACAGCCAGCCCTCGCCGCTGCGCCCTGCGGAGCCGCGTCCGGGAGCTCCGAGGCAGCTGACCGCCAGGGGCGGCGGCTGCATGCGCGGAGAGCAGGCTCGCAGGGCTAGCAGGGAAAAGGCGAGCAGCTGGAGCAGAAAAAGAAGCGTCGGCATGGCAGCACGACGGCCGAGAGAAAGCGTCGGCATGGCGGCGCGGCCAGCCGACGGCTGCTGGTTGCGTTGCGCCAACTGTCAGCTAGCGACCTCGGAATCCTGAACGTTCTACGTGCACACCGGTACCTGCCGCCCTCCTCCATGGCGCGGCTTGCCAAAAAACCACGTCGGCTTCGAAACGGCCCCTGGGACGGGCTGTCGAAAGGGGCCACGGACCGCACGGAGAGCGGCAGGCGGCAGCACCGCGTGGCGCTCAGCGTGGCGGCTGGATCGGCGGGGCCGCCACGCCGAGAGGAGGACCGACCCCGCCCCGCCCCACAGAGCGGCCCGGCCCGGCCCCTTGTCCTGCGTGCTGTGGGAAGCGCGGAGTCGCTCGGGCGAAGGCTGAGAGGGGCTTGTGGGACGGCCATGGCACCGCTGAGGGACTGCAAGGTACGGGTGGGCCGGAAGGGAGCGGCGCAACGACGGAGCCGAGCCGAGGGGCCGTTGCGCGGCCGCAGGTGGCCGGGCGGCTGTGCCCGCTGTGCCCGCGGGTCCCGCAGCTGCCGGGAGAGCGGGCGGCGAGGGCGAGCAGGTCTCTGCTTCGGCCACCGCCGGGGAAGGAGCCCGTGCTTGGGAACTGCGGCGGCTGCGGCTGGGAGGGGCGCGGGAAGCCGGGCCTGGCGCCGTGCGGCCTCGTCCGGGGTCGTCCCGAGAGGCGCTGTTCGGGGAGCTTCGCTCGCCCTGGGGCTCGGACGGCGGGCTGAGTGCTGCCCGCTTCCCTGTGGGGGAAGGCAGGTAACCCGTGAGCTGCAGCCCTGCCTCGGCTGCTCTCTCGGCGATTTTCTGCTCGCTTCTTTCTGAACTCACGCTTGCGTGTTGTAAGAAAAGGAAAAAAGTTTGTGATTTGATATTGTCGAGTACTTCCAGGCGTGCAGTGTGAACTCTCCGGTACTTGAATGGTTGGAATGTGAGCCTTTAACGAAATTTCAGTGAGAAATCTTTAGAATATCGTTTTTAAAATGTCTCCCAGTCTACCTACTGGTTTTGACAAGGATGGAACTCAGTGTGTGATTAAGTTGGCAAAGGAAGCACCTGAGACTGGGAGGTGACCAACTCGTGGTTGCGTTGCCACCCTGTGTGGGAAAGCACTGCTCTGCTGTGAGGTGCAGAAAACCAGGGCCTTCATTCAGCATGTGGCAGTTCCACGTGAGGTGTGCCTGCAGCAGAGGAACTTGTCAAAAGGGAACCGTAATGAGTTGAGAATCGTTCTTGCATTTGGAGGTCTGTAGGCCGTTAAGTTTTACCGTTTACAGTGTGTTGGTTCTTCCTCCCCACTGCTAACCACAGCTAATGGAGTTGATTGTCATAACGTAATGTCACATGTAATTACGGCTGCAGAAAATGTTTCTGTGGCTGCCCAAGTTGTCTGTACAGCACAAGAACACAACAAGAAAACGTAGTTGAAAAGCGTCAGCAAATCATCGCTTTTGAAGTCTGCTGGCTGTGTGTGGGCAAGCAGGGCATGGAATAAGCAGTTCTTTTTTTGTTTATTGTGCAGGCCTGGCAGGACGCTGGACTTGGGCTGTCGACCGCTAGCAACGAAGCCTGTAAGCTATTTGATGCTGCGCTAAGCCAGGTATGACATGAAGCAAAAATAAGAGAAGGAGGGTCTTGTGCACCAAGTAGTCTTTGCTGTAGCTGACTTTTGAATTTCTGACTGTCTGGAAGATGAGAAGATGGATCTAGTTTTATCGATTGAGGAAGGAACACTTAAGCAGTCACTGCTAGTGTGTACTTAGACGCACGCCCGTGACTCTTTCCCACAGCAGAGTCAAATCTAACAGGTGAGTTGTGGTCTCAGAGGTGTTACGCTCTTGCACATTTTCTGGGAATAGGCTGAGGAACCTGAGCCTGAGGCTGAGGCTGAGTTCAGCCACTGGCTGTCAGCAGAAAACCCAGTTAGCAGGGAGCTCTGCTGAGTGTTGCAGCTGAGGGAGAAGCTTCAGCTGGTGTGCTTATCACCCCTCACACTAGAGAATCATGGAGGAGACGTATGCTGCTTAGAAAGTGAAGATTGTTAGTTCTGCTGGTGTCCAGAGTACCTTAAAGAAGACATTTTCTCTGTTTTCTTCCTAAGTAAACTCAGTGGACTGAGTGTAAAGATTCTCTTTTGTGTTGCTTCCTTTAACTTTAACCTGCCTGGGATCCTGGGCTACCTGATCTAGTGCCTGTTTGACTGGTTGGCAACCCTGCCAGTGGCAGGGGGTTTGGAACTAGATGATCTTGGAGGTCCCTTCTAGCCCGAGCCATTCTGTCATTGTGTGGGAGAACGAGAAGATGCCCAGTGTCGTTGGCACTGTCTCTCCCTTTTGCAGTATGCAACGTGGCGCAACGATGAGAATCTAGGAGGTATTGAAGGGTGTCTTTCCAAGTTAAAGGCTGCAGATCCAAATTTTGGTAAGTGTAACCTTTAGCTGTTTGCACGGGAAGTGCTGGATGCTACGTAAATCACTCCAAAATAATGCCTCTTGTTTATTTCCATTTAACTTTCAACGGATTCAAAGAGCACAATAGTGTTATTTGATGTGGCTCTTTTTCTGCTACAGAACAGAATTTTTCAACATAGTGACCACTGCTAGCTATGGATTTTCTCCAGGGACGATCGAGAGCTTGTGTGCCACGCTCGTAAAAATCTGCACTTGCAGAGGTGGCCTCTTGTTGGCTCTGCTGAAGTGTATCACCTGCCAACTCGCTGTGTTGACACCCACTGTTTGGTCTCCATAAGTGTTCAGCAGGCGTCAGTAAGGTCCATAGTTGTCATTGCTTCCACGTGGAGGAATTCAGGGACACTACTTTGCTTCATATGCACCTCCATGTTGTGGATCAGTGTAATAAAATGGGAGGTATTACTTTTGGAGCAGCCCTTCTACCCTGTTTCTTTGTGTTCACTGTACTTCATTTTGGCCAGTAGCAACTGGTGTGTGGGGTAGAATTCTGTAATTCGTCGTTAGAGGGGGGAGCAGGCTGTGGTGATGTTTCCGTGTTTCTCACTCAAGTCCTCTGTAATGCCTGTCCTGAAGGGCAATGAAAACTGGAAGCTTATGAGTCTTTGCTACAGAGGGGACCCATTTTCACCCAAGGCAACCCAACCCTCTTCATGCTCTTGTAGAGATGAATTACGTTCATAGCTGTACTGCTCATGATGTGACTTGTTGATTTCCATAGTCATGGGACATGTCATTGCTAACGGATTGGAGCTTATTGGCACTGGAAGCTCAGTGCGGCTCAACAGAGATCTGGGCAGTGCGCTGAAAACAATGATGACGCTGTCGAGATCTCAGCCCCTGACTGAGCGGGAGAAGCTTCACGTATTGGCCTTGGACATGTTTGCCAGTGGGTAAGTGGCTGGCCCTGTGGGGAAGGGGACAGTGGCAGGTTTTGTCATTCAGGGCCTTCTTGCTGTTGCAGCGTACTGCTGCCTTAGGCAGAAATGGGGTACTTCTCTGCGTAACTCCTCGAAGGTCTAGTGTAATATAATGCAGTCCTGAACCCACACTAGCAATTCTTCAAAAGTACTTTTCACAGAATTGCAGGGGTTGGAAAGGACCCCAGAAAACTGTTGAGCCAAACCCCCTGCAAAGGTGGGTTCCCTGCAGCATGTTGCACAGGTAGGCGTCCAGATGAGCCTTGAATATCTCCATTAAAGGATGCTCCCCGGCCTCCCTGGGCAAGCTGTTCCAGTGCTCCTAGTGTCAGAAAGTGGAGAGGGAGATGCTAGTATCAGCAGTTCTGTAAAGCATTATTGTTCCATTCAGTACGATGAATTTCTGTGCACTCTGGAGAAGAAACCATTCACTTTTATTGTTCATCAAACAAGTGAACATGGCTTTACCTCACGTAATTCATAGCAAAGGTAAAGAGGAAGCTACCGAAGCCCTGCTAGTGTGAGTTCAGTTCCCACTGGAACAAAGGTGTCTGTGTGCCTGTGACTGTAGATTAATTATTGAATTATAGAATTGCTTAGCATGTAAAACATCTTCACGATGATCAGGCTGAGCTACCAAGTTCCGTCATTACACCAGGTTCTGCAGTGTAAATACTTCTGGGAAGGGAGGGGCTGGGACTCCACCGCTTCCCTAGGGAAGCTGTTCCACTGGCAGCCCCCTGACTGCTACCTCCTTTCAGGTAGACCCCTTAGCCTCTTCCCAACAGAACAGCCTGTTCCCTCTCTTGCTCCAGAAATGTCTTGTTTTGCAGTCCCTTTGACTTCGTTGCTCTTCTGTGACCGTGTTCCAGCAACTCGGTATCATTTTTGTAGTGAGAGGCCCAAAAGCGAACTCAGTAGTCAAGGTGCAGCCTCCCTATTGCTGAGTATGGGCCCAATCCTTTTCCTCCTCTCATTGACCACACTATTTCTGATGCAGGCCTGGATGCCATTGGCCTTGCTGGCTACCTGGGCACACTGCTGGCTCACATTCAGCTGGTTGTCAGCCAGCACCCACCCCCCAGCTCTTTTTCTGCTGAGCAACTTTGCAGCCACTCGTGCCCAAGTCTGTACCACTGTATGGGGTTGTTGTGACTCCAGTGTAGGACTGGGGGCTTAGCCCTGTTGAATGTCATGCAGTTGGACTTAGCCCTTTGATCCAGCCTCTCCAGATCCATCTGCAGAGCCTTCCAGCTCCCAAGCAGGTAGCAGCAGATCTCTCTGTCCCAAGTTCACGTTCAATCTCGGGAAAATCTTTATGGTTCAAGCTTGTCTCTTTTTCCTTGCCTTTTGCAGCTTTTGTAAGAGCACTTCTCATGTGATTTCCCAGTAAGTGCCCTGCTTAAACACTGTCATTTTTTCTCAAAGGAAAACACAAACGTAACTAAAATTTGTTCAAGAAGAAAAAGGCATTTGTTGTTGAATCTTCTCTTTTTCAGAATAGGAGGAGTTTAGAACTGACAGCAGGGGCAGGTATGCATGTCTTCTTTCAACGATTAAAATTCTTGTTTATAGACAGCTTCCAAAAGCTTGTGATGTATGGGAACGGATTCTACAGAACCATCCGACTGACTTGCTAGCCCTCAAATTTTCCCATGACACTTATTTCTACTTAGGATATCAAATACAAATGCGAGATTCTGTTGCTCGGGTTTTTCCTTTCTGGACACCTGACGTTCCTCTGAGCAGGTAGGTCATGCTTCACTTTCAAAATTGCTCCGTATCTGATGTATGCATACTCTTTTGTTTTAGGTTCAACACATCTAAATAATAGGATTTGTTAGAAACAGGAGTGCAGACAAGATTAACAGCTTCTAGATGAAGTTGAGTGAATTATGGGTGACGCCAGCTCGATCATCTCCCCCGCATCCCTGCTGACACTGTTAGTGAGGTTGTTCTGTTCAGTTTTCAGAAGTGAGCAGTGGCTCACTCAGTGACTTTTGCTGTCAGATAAGGCTCGTGTCATGTAACGCCTAAGATGGATTGGTGCACTCACTGCAGGCGGGGGCAAAATGCTCTCAGGCTCTTGTGTGCCCATTTCCTTTTTCCTTTTTTTTCCTGTGGACAAACGCACTGTACCTCAATATGCAGGACAGAATGCTTTTCTCTTCCACAAACAGTGAAGACAGTGTAAGCTGAACATTAAGCTTGTAATGAAGCTATGGCATCGCGCAGTCTCACGGCTCAGAAGGCAGTGTCATTTTTCCCTCAGTGTCAACTGACAAAAATGTGAAATC